ACGGGCAGACCTGAGATGTGACTTTGTGCTGTGCAGCAGAGCTTGAGCAGTCTGGGGGCTCCTTTGGCCCCTCCCTGGCTCCAGGTCTGCCATTGCTCTCCCAGGCATCTGCCTCTTTCTTGCAGAGCTCGTCCTCCCTGGCCATGGAGCAGCTCCGTGGGTGGATGTGGGTGCCTGAGCTGGCAGTGTGGGCTCTCTGTGGGTGCAGAGCTCAGGCTCTCAGATGGGGTGGGGCCACTCCCAGGCTTCTCCAGGCTGCCGGGCCCTGGAAGGCTGTACAGGAGTTGGTCACCCTCTAAACCAGAGATGAACTGGTGTGCTGGCTGGAGAAGCATTGGCTCATCCTCTGTGTCCTGGAGCTGTGGCTGGGGAATGGGAAGTGTCATGGCCAGCCCTCCCTGTCCTGCTGCCACGGCCAGCCCAGCTCTCAGTTGTCCCAGAGACACTGGCACCATGCAGAGTTTTTTGTCCTGATTGTTTGTACCCAGCACAAGTCAGCTTTGGTAGGAGCTGGGGTGTCACTGAGTTACTTGGCACATGCAGATGTCCAAGCCCATGCTCTGCAAGGGCAGCACTGAGAGACAGGGAGATTCCCTGTGTCAGAGCATCTGTGAGGCCCAGTGCAAGGCAATGGCTCCTGCTGTGTGCAAGCTGCCACATCCTGATGGCCCTGCCACGGAGCTGGGCTGGGAAACCTCCATCGCCCACAGCTCGGATCAGTGATTCCACACAGAGCTGTCAGCAGAGCTGGGAAGAGCACCTGTCTGTCTGTCTGTCTGTCTGTCTGTCTGTCACCCCAGGACGTGCCCCACCACGCCTGGGAGCTGCCTGGGTGCTCTGCATGGTGGCCAGCTCCCAAGGAGAATGCAGGGGTTGGTGTCTCTGAAATGACATCAGTGCATCCTGGGGCTCCTGGCTGGTCAGAGCCAGCCCATATGTTTTGGGCTCATGGAAGTTGTTCAGGAGGAAGCACCCAAAAGTGTCCAGGTAACAGCATGCAGTGCTTCATTTAGAAACCCAGCCTGACAGAGACTCCTGCCTCTGGACTGGCTCTGGGGCACAGGTGGCTCTGGGAGCAGCAGCCACAGGAGCTGCCAGGATGACCACCTTCCTGCCATGGCAGCTGCTGGCCCTTTGGCATGGGGGTCAGTTATGTCCTCCCCAGCAGGATTTTCACAGGCAGGCAGCTCTACCAGGCTCCTTGGCTCTCACCTCCCTTCAACAACTGGTTGGGTTCTGGGAGTGGAGGTTTCCCTCTAGCTGGATTTGTGTTCTAGTCCAGCTCAGGGTCCTGAGTAGCCTCAGCTTTTGGGGAGGCTTTGAGCCCTGTTCATCTGCAGGCTCCAGCCAGGCTCTGTGTAAGGTGACTCACAATAATCCTGGTCTTTATTTGGAATAAATGATGACGTGTTGGCAACAAGTGGTTGAGGGGCAGAGTGACTGATGAGTCCTGGGGGCACCATTTGGCAGACAGTCAATAGCATTCATCTGCACTGTGCTGTTGGCTCTGCAGCACCAGAGAAAACAGGGTTTGCTCCATGCCAGGGTGTCCTCATCCATCCTGGAGCACCTCCATCACCCCCTTGAGCCACACTCTGCCTGTGAGAGAGCAGGGCCTGTCCTGTACTTGGCCATAAACCCAGAGCGATCCCAAAAGTGCTCTCCAGCTGGTGCCTCTTTAAAATTCAGCACAGCCCATTCCCTGTGCCAAAGTTGGTTTCCTCCACACTTTAAGGGCCTGACAGCAGCATCCAGCATAATGTCACCAGGAAATTTCTCCAGACCATATTTTATTTTGCCAAATTGCTCTTGAAAATATTAAAGAGATCCTAAAAAGATCCTCAAGTGACTGCAAATTATCTCCTTCCCAACTAGTGGTGCCCTTTTGGCTAACTCCCCTTTATCCTGTACCCTCAGCAGCCACACCTTAATGAAGAATTCCCAGTTTGCTCTGATCCAGGTGTTTCACCAAAGCATCTGGGCTGCCATGTCATGGCTGGGAAAAGGCCATTCTGGGTTTAGGTAGTTTTCCTTCCAGTGCCACATCATCAGCTGGGCTCTACTGAAAAGGCATCATGGAGCCATGTGAGTCTTTTTAGGGGGATTGAGGGAACAGTGACTGGGAGAGGGATTGGGGAGCTGTCAGCAGTTTGGGGGTTCAGTTCCTGCAAGTGATCGCCTGTCACTTACCTGGTTTACAGGGAGCATGTCCAGCAGCTGCCAGGGACAAAGGGATGCAATTCCTGAGAGCTCTGGCCTTACTGGGAGCACCCAGCAGTTCCCTCAGAGAAGCTGGAGCTGCACAGCACGAGGTGTGGGAGCGAGCTAGTGGCTGGGCTGTGGGGGGCTTCCCCCACGGCTGGGTGACTCCACGCAGCTGAGTGAGGTGCAGGGAGCTTGGAGAGGCTGCAGAGGCTGATGGAAGCTGTTCCTTCTTTCAAAATGAAACATCGGCATTTGTGGCAGCCTGTGCTGCTCCTCAGAAGTGTGATGAAAAGGCAAGGTGGGCTGGGGCTCCTGGCCTTGCTTGGTGGGTGTGCAGGGGTCAGATCTGCACTCCCTAGGGCCCTGCAGGACTTCTCCCTCTGCAGGAGGAGCTTCTCCCAGTCCCTCTGTTTCTGCTCTCCCTTCTTCACCTTCGCCTGCTCCGTGGCTGTGGCCATAACCAGGACTGGGGGCGCTGGGGGCTTGGTGCTGGTGGACACTGTCAGAGCATCCCATCCCATCCCATCCCATCCCATCCCATCCCAGCCCATCCCAGCCCATCCCATCCCAGCAGCTCCATTCCCAGGACCCAGCCCACCCCAGTCCCAGGAGAGCAGCTCTGTCCCTGCTCCAGCAGCAGCAGGCTCCCTCCCACGAGGAGGCAGAGAGGAGATGGATGCAGCAGTCAGGAGCAGAGCGCCAGCTAATTACCCTTCCGAGTGTGTCTTGTAAATTAAGGGCTAATTAGAGGCAAAGTCAGTGTCATGGTTTTACACGTGTTTCTGTGGCGCTGAACAAGGGGAGGGAGGGGGAACATGCAGCAGCAAGGCTGGAGGCAGGAGACGTGGTGGGGCTCTGCAAGGAAGGTCCTGGCAGCCTGGGGTCAGGGTCCTGGGAGCACAGGGTGCAGGGCAGTCTGGGGTGCAGGGTCCTGGCAGCTCAGGGGTGCAGGGCAGTCTGGGGTGCAGAGTCCTCGCAGCTCAGGTGCAGGGCAGTTTGGGGTGCAGGGTCCTGGCAGCTCAGGTGCAGGGCTCTCCATAGGCATCGCTGGCAGGCAGGACCTGCAGGCGAGGCTCACAGCTCTGCAGGGAAAAGTCCAGGATGAGAACAGGGAAGAGGAGGGTGGGAGGGACCTGCCATGCTGGTGATGGAGTGGTGGCGATGATGATGATGATGATGCTGGTGGTGGTGGTGGTGGTGGTGGTGGTGATGGTGGATGGAGGCATGCCTGGTGCAGGGCTGGGGGCCACATCACCCCTCCTTTCAGCACTTGCCTTTGGAGGGGGTGTTTGGGCCCCTGAGCTGTCCTGTCAGGCACTCATCAGCCCTGGCTGTGCCTGGGCACATCTGAATAGCATCCCTTGGGTTTTCATGGAAACAGCAGGGACAGAAACATACATTGATGTGCGAACTCTGGGGCTTCACATGGGATTCTGTGGGGCTCTGCTCTTTGTAGAAGGTGGCACAGCACAGGGATAGGTTGTCCAGGGAGGTTATGCCATCTCCCTCCTTAGAGATGCTCCAAACTCATCAGAAACAGTCCAGGGCCACTGGCTCTGGGGGCTCTGCTTGAGCCAGGCTCTACAGGATGATGCCAGAGCTCCCTTCCACCTTAGCCATGCTGAGATCCATGGCAGCCAAGTGAGTCTGGTTTCACACAGGAAGACAGGTGAGCTGTCCTGGGTGTAGCAGCTCCCACTGAGGACCTGCTTCCACAGATGTTCATTTGCTTCCGTGGAAGGCTCCCACTTGCACCAGGCCCATCGGGCCAAGGGCTCGGTGCCTCGCAGCCCAGCTTCATCATGACTGCAGGGCTGGAGCTGTGGGTGAGCAGCATCTGGAGCTGTTCTGTGGCCCTGCCCTGGGCCATGGCCAGGTGGGCTGCACTGAGAGTCCCAGCTCAGTGTCTGTGCCTCCAGGCAGGGAAGGAGGAGATGTAGCTTTGGAGTAGGGACGGGGCCCCTTCTCTCAGCCCTGAGCTCCCAGAGCATTTGCTCCACAGTGGCTGGAGCAGAATGGCCTGAGGGGAGCGTGGGAGGGGGCTGGTGGTGGGCAGGTGCAGTGGGATCCCTCGGGCCAGTGTCCTCCTCTGTGGCAGAATGCCTCCACACTGAAGGGGAGGGTGTGAGCTCTCTGTCAGAACCATTTTATTTGCTATTCTGGACGTTTTGGGTATTCCTATAATCCAGGAACACTTGACCCATTTTGCATCACTGAGTGATCTTTGGCAGCCTCTAGTCCCAAAAGCACTCCTCTCTTGGGGGTTCAGGTTCCTGGGCTCAGCCGCAGCAGTTTTGAGCTAGTGGGAAAGGGAACTCCCACCTGCCATCCCCACCTTACAGACATCTGTTCCCCTGCTTGTTTCTTTGACACCCTCCATGTGATTTCACACTCTCTCCCAGTGCCCCCAGCATGGCTGGATTTCCTGCCAGGGACACAGAAGAAAGTGAAGTTGAGAGATGAAAGTGGGTGTGCTGATTGTGGGGTGGGTTTGGCTATGCCCAGGTGCCAGAGGCTGTAGTGAAAATCACGACCATGAACTCTAGCTGTGGGGAAGCTGCGTGCCAGAATCTCCAGCTGTGCATCCCAGGGTGCTACACTGCAACCCCCTCAGCTGGGGGACCCTCGGGGAAGTGGGGTGTGCTGGGCTCTTCCGTCAGCAGCCTTTGGGAGAGGAGAGCCAGAGAGAGCCTGTGCTCGTGGGGCCAGCCGAGGAGCAGGCACGGGACAGCTTTGCCTTCTCCCACGGTGTTTCCAGGCAGCATTCAGTTCTGCTCTGTTCACGTCTCTTGCAGGCGCTCCCCACTCGACCAGCAGCACCTCCCTGCACTCGGAGCGCTCCATCAGTGGCATCAACCTGGTTGGGTTCAGCTCCAAGCCGGACGGGATGCACCAGCGCTCCTACTCCGTCTCCAGTGCGGACCAGTGGAACGAGGCCGTGGCTATCCCCGGCAGCTGCCCCAACCCCTGTGAGTAATAGCCCTTCTGAGTTCTCCCCTCAGCCTCACGCGTGTCAGACACAGCCTCTGCGCCTCCTTGGGGCTGTCCCCCGTGGTGAGGGTCAGCTGGCAGTGTCCCAGCCAGGGAAGAAGCTGTCCTGCAAGGCTCCAGCCAAGGGACACTGCTCTGCAGCAGGATGGCTCCGAGCCCTCTGCTCTGACCTTACTGTGAGCTCTCCGTGCTGGGGTACCACTGCTTTCCCCCATCACTGCACCTTGCTGCACCCCCATCTCCCAGATTTCGGGGCAGTTGAAGGAACAGGAGTGATTCCTGTCTCTGGAGCACACACTGAGCACGGCCCGCCCCCTCCCCCCACGCTCACTCGCTCTCAGTGATGTTTCAGGACAGTTGAGTGAATTAAAATAATTCATACATTTCCCAACGTAGCCACTTTGCCGAATTGGAAAATAAATGCTTTTGTGCTGCATTCATCACTCCTTCGTTCCTGGCTCTGCCGCCGCACTAAAAAAGCAGTTAAATGCACATCAAGAGTGGAGGAGCCATTTCCATGCCTGCTCGCCCCTTGTAGTTCTCATTAGCGCGGCAGCCGCCCCCCCGCCCGCTCCCAGGGGCTTTCGCAGTTTAAAGGAGCCTCTTTATGATCATTACCGGAGTCCGACTGTGCGGGCGCCATTTGCAGCTGAGGAGGCTCCTCATTTGTAACTGTGAAAAACTATCAATTTCAGCGCGCCTGATGCAGCGGCTCCATCATTGGCCCCATCAGCTCCCTGCTGGAAGCGAATTAATCAGACTGTTACTGCTGATGGGGCAGCGCGGGCGAGGGGAGCGCAGGGGCAGCGTGAGCGGGGCTGTGCCGGGAGCCCCGGGCTGGGACACGGGGACAGCGGGGCAGCCCAGCCCGGGGAAGGGCATTGCGAGGGGCTCTGGGCACGGGTGTGCCTGCTCGTCCCCGTGCTGGAGAGGCTCCCACTGCAGGCAGCCCCTTGCCCCTTGCCCGGCATTCGGAGCTCCGAGCCCTGGCATGCCCAGCAGCAGCTCCAGTGCCCTCCTGCAGCAGTGTGCGGGGCACACACCTTGGCACACATCGGTTCTGTGGCACCAGCCCGCTGCAGAGCACCTCCTTGCCCCGGTTCCCTCCTGCCCCAGGTCATGGCAGGTCTCATCCTTCCTCCTCTGCAGAGCTGGGGGCTGCCGCAGCCATGCTGTGTGTTGCCCTGGGTGGCACAGGAGAGCCAGCCGGCCCATGCCCCCATCCCTCTGTCCCCTGTCCTGCCCCTTGTCCTTCTGCTCTCCATCCCTCTGCTCCCTGTCCTTCTGTTCCTGTCCGTGGAGGAGCTGTCCATGTTCACAGCCCCTGGACAAGTCTGCCTCTTCTGTGCACAGTAACTGAAGACTCAGATGGGAGCTGATCTGCACGCTCGTAGCAGGAAAAGGAATAATGTTTTTAAACTAAAACTGGATGGGTTTCGACTAGATATAGGGAAGAAGTGTTTTATTGAGAGGGTGGTGAGGCGAGAGGGTGCTCAGAGAAGCTGTGGCTTCCCCATCCCTGGACGTGTCCAAGGCCAGGTTGGACAGGGCTCGGAGCAGCCTGGGATAGTGGAAGGTGTCCTTGCCCATGGCAGGGGTGGGATTGGGTGAGCTTTGGTCCCTTCCAACCCACACCATTCTGTGATTCTGTACTGCTGCTCCTGCCAGTGACATGGAGGAGTGAGATGGTGTCTCAGTGCTCAGTGTTGTCCTGTGTGCTGCTGGCTGCTCACCCATTCTCAGGTCCCTCTGCCCTGTGCTGGACCCCAGGCCCTGTGTTAGTGCTCCACAGACTCAGCACAGGGCCAGCTGTTCTGCAGGGCCCACAGCACATCATGGGTCCCAGGCAGTTCCCAGGGCTGCATCCCTGCTCTGTGTGCCCCACAGCCCAGCTGACAGAAGTGGATTCCCAGTGTCATGAGGGAGGGGGCGTTTGTTGGGTGGGCAGCATTTTCCACATGGCAGGGTGTGCTGAGCTGGGCAGCACAACCACCCCTCCATCAAGGAGCTGAGCTGAGCTGAGCTGAGTCCTGCACCACACCTGAGCCCAGCTCTGCCAGAGGCCAGGCTCTCTGCTGTGTTCCCAGTTCTGCATGGCAGGGCAGGTGAGGAATTTTCCTGTGCTCAGAGCTGATGTTGGGCATATAGCAAGGCTGTAGGCTGCCATCCCAGTTCCTGGGGACAGGCTGTCTGCTCTGGCTGTGCCCTGGAGAGTACATGGAAGAGCAATGGGATGGGGCCATACGGTCATATAGACATGCTCCAGCACATTCTGTATCTGCCCCTTTTGCAGGAGCTCTGCAGCCCACCTGTGGGGTTCCAGGGTGACCCCTAAGGCTGACTGGTTTGGAGAAGGGCCCAGGAGGTCCCAGGTGTGCCTGTGAAAGGTTCCCTTGGTGACGTGGGGCTCTAGGAGTCCTTGGGTGAGGGGTTCAGTTGTCCTACTGGGGAAGGAGAGTGAGCAATGTCTGATCCAGCACAGGGAGTGTGTTCCATGTGCTGCCCCTACCCCATTGCCATCCTGTCCCCATCCCACGGGGGCCCTGCGAGTCCCCAACTCTGGTGTTGGCTGCTGGGCAGTAAGAGCAGGGACGTGGGTGATGATCCCTCAGGATTTGCCTGGCTCATGGCAGGCCACAGGAGGGGGAGTGCAGAAATGTGTGACCCCTCTCGCTGAGCCTGGAGCGGGGCAGGGTGCCAGAGGTGTGGGATTTGGCCCAGGGAGCATCCTGGTGAGCAGGTGGGCAGCAGAGGGAGGATGGAGGCACCACATGTAGCCACTGATGAGAAAGTTCAGGTCCCCTGTGACATATGGCTGGGAGCTGAAGGTGCTTCACACCTGCTCTAAGCACGGTCCTGTAGCATGATCAGTAATTTATATTTAGAAAACTGGAGTCTGATTTTATTAGATTTATCTCTCTTAATTGTCAAGGGTGAGCTATTTCCCCATGGATAAATAGCAGCAGAAACACCCTACTGGTGTGTGTCAGTGCAGGAGAAAGCAGAGCTGGGAGAGCTCCAATGCTGCAGCCTCGCTGGGCTGTGTGAGGGGAGCACCAGCTGCACCTCGATCCCTGCCTGGGGCAGCTCTGGCCTGTGCCCCTCTGTGCCTCTCTCCACCCCACTGCTGGTGTTTGTCGAGGCAGACCAAACCCCATAAACCAGTCTGACAAACCAGGAGGAGCCGAGGGAGCACAGGACGGGCTGGGGCGGGAGCAAGGCTTGGCAGGTCCCTGCCGTCCCACTGCTGGAGCTGCTGCCCTTGTGCAGTGCTGTGATTCCTTTCTTAATTCCAGGTGCCACAGAGCATGGAAGTGGGAGGTCAGGACTTGATGGGAGACACTGGACTGTGGCACAGGGGACGGCAGGCTGCCTGGGGCAGAGGGTGCTGGGCACGGAGCTGCCACCTCTGCCCTGGGGGTGGTGGACACTGGAGCAGCAGGAGTGGATTTAGGAGAGGGTTAACAGTGCAGCGAGGGCTCCTGCGCCTCGTTGCCTTCCCCGGAGTCTGCATTTTTATGCTGATTGGAAGCCTGCGCTGTGTGTGCTGCTGAAATTGAATGTCAGGCTTTTGATTTTGTTGCTGGTCTCTAATGAAATTTGACATTTAATGGTGAGTGCAGCGGCAGCGTGTGTGTGTGTGATCGGAGCTTGATTAGCGCACTCTAATTGACAGTAATTAGGCAGCTCCCTGATTGTTTCTAATTCTGCTATTAATTGTAAGGAACAGTATGATTGAGGATAAATTTGGTGCGTTGCTGCTGGGGATGCAGCTTCTTCAGCTCCGTATCGGAAGCCTATTGAGCCCATCATGCTCGGGTTCCTGAGTGTGGCAAGCCCAGTCACCTCGTCTGGCAGAGCAGCCCTGCGAGGGCAGCGCTTCTGCAGAGCCTCTGCACATCCCGACTGCACATCCCGACTGCACATCCTGCCCCACAGAGGCCAAGGGCACCCTCTGCGCCTGTCCCTTCCCAAAAGGCTTGTCCAGCCCTGTGAGGGAGCTGCTTCCCCAGGAGCTTGTTTGGGGTGGGCCATGGGGCTGCCCCAGAGGTGCTGCAGGCTGTGTGCAGCTGTGTGATCCTCCTGCGTGGATCCCAGTGCAGAGAGGGTCCAGCCTGGCTGCCCAAGGAGCTGCCAGCCCTGAGCTGGAGTGGCTGTGGCAGCAGCCCTGTGCCGTGGAGCTGGGCAGCTCCTGCCCTGTCTCAGGGGCCCTGTGGGTCCAGCCAGCCAAGTACTGGGGCTGGCTCCAGAGCGCTTGGGTGTCCTGGGAAGAGGAGACTGTCACTGTCCTGCTGTGCATGACTTGCCTTGTTTTTGTCCCCAGCTAACGGTACTGCCGACTCACTCAGCTCCAGCCCCAACATTTCCAGTGCTGCCAGCCCAAAGCTGGAGCCGCCTCCGTCACCACATGCCAACAGGAAAAAGCATCGCAGGAAAAAGAGCACGGGGACAACTCGGCTCGATGGCCCCAGCACAGCAGCAGAAGGTAGGAAGGCTCTGCCTGGGGGAAGCTCTGCTGGCTCAGAGTGCCAGGCACCCAAGGGTGCTGCAGTGCTCTCTGGGTGCCTGGGGCTTGGGGTGCTTCTCATGGGGGGCTCAGTGGTGACTTGGGGCTCAGCACTCCTTGTCCAAGCACCTTGGGCTGGGGCAGGAAGGAGCAGCCAGCCTCTCTGATCTGTCTTTCCCTCCATTTCCCACATGCCATGCAGAACCACCATCGTGCCTGTGTGTGCACACGCAGTCACTGGTAATTAAAAATTACTAACTGTAGTAGCAGACCTGAGAGCACACCATATGGTTAAGGGGTGCTCTCAGACACTTTCCACCAAAGGACATATTTCCATTGGCTTTGTAAATTGGCCAAACTTTCATAATTTAAAAGACCTGTGCTGAGCACCTGCCTCAAGCCGAGGGTCTTTTGGAAAAGCTTGTCTACTTCAGAGGACCAACTGGAGGCTTTCCCAGTGCTCAGAGTACACTGATGGGTTTTGTGTTGAGAAATTCTGGTGTCCGTGGTTGCTGAGGAGGGACCCAAAGCTTGACAAGGCTGCAAAGCATGGAAAAGCATTCTGCTGGGAAAAGACACCAGATTTGTCCAGGTAGAGATGAGCCTGGCAGCCATGTTCTCCAAAGCCTGCATCTGTGGTTAGCTGCTGGAAAAAGTGAGATTTGACTTTATTCTTGGTCATCCTGTCCCACAGCACTCAGTAAGCTTCTGCAGTGAACCAAAGTAAAGATGTCATTCAAAGGGGAGGAGGGTTCAGTACAAGTGTTTGGAGCTAACAGTTGCTGCAAAACAAGCCAGGAAGTATTAGTCTGTACCTGAAGGTGCTGCAGCTGTCCTGGCACCTTGCTCCAAATCACGTGTCTGCCTGCAGTGCAGCAGCCCGGGTGTCCCATAGCAGAACAGCTCAAGTTCTTGTTCTTGGAATCATTGCTTTGATGATGTGCACAGTTGGGCAGCTCTGCTGTTCCTTTTTTGCTGCTATAGTTGTCTGCGTCTGAAATGCACCGAGTCTAAGACAGGCTTCTCCTCTGTGGTGGTTGTTTGAGGAACCTTGAGCATCGTTTGAGTCTGTCCAACTGGTGTCCCGTGGGTAGCAAGAAGCGTTGCCTGTAGTTGCACTTTGTTCTTAGCTCTGTGTGTATGTTGCCTCCTCAGACCCGTTGTTGCCCTTCCCAAACTGGTTTGCAGTTCTCAGCCCAGTGCTTGGCAAAAGGAGAGGCTCATTCCTTGAGTGAATAGTGGGATAGTGAAGGAGGGGATGATTTTGCACCCCCACACGTAAGACTGAGAAAGCATGTGCTGAAGTAGTGTGTCCTATCCTGTAAATAAAATGCTAAGGAAGAGTTGTAAAGGAGGTCCCAAAGCTGACCTCTGTGTGATGGTTGGGTTTATCAAGTGGACATGAGGGCTCTCAGCTGACCACAACAAAGACCAAGAGGCACAGGACTGATGTCAGTGCTTGCAGAGGTCTGGTCCTGCGGCTGCTCAGTGCAGCTGACAGGGTGTGAGAGGTGCAGATGCTGGGACCTCACAGTACACAGAATGTAATGCAATTCCTAGCAGAAAAGGTAATTGAATGTGGGAACACTTTTATGAAGCAGTAACACGGACTAACCACTGCTTGAAGTCTTAAAATTTGATTAGTTCCTTTTCAACAACACATGTGTGCTTGGCAGAATTCCCAGCCCTCTGCTCCCAGATGCACAGGCTGGAGGCTGTCACCCTTATGTGCCCAGGACAGGAGTCTGAGAAATCCCAGTTCTTCCATCGTTTAATAGGGATATCTTTTCAGACACACGCTCACTCTTTCTGTCCCTCCTGGTTTGGCAGCATCCCTGGAAGGTGAAGTGATGGAGGTGGAGACATGTGGCAAGCATGAGGGCATCAGAGGATTTTTGTTGTTTCCTACACTGGTCCTTGACCATGGTGGTCACTGGAGCTAGGCAGAGGTCTGTCTTACCTGAAGTGTTACCCAGGCCCTGTCTCAGGCTGGTACAGTTAATTTCAAGCCCTATCAGGTGTTGTAGCAATATAACTTTTTCCTACAATGTGCATTCCTCGGCATTTATCACACAGAACTTCATTTACCAGCAAAGTGTCAGTTACCAAACTTCATCTGTCGCTGCACAGACCTTGCACACAGACCTTGTACAGCGCCTCTGGCCCCAGTGCTGGAGCAGGAGGAGCCCCCAGTGAGAAGTGCAGTGCTGCTGGTGCCCAGGTGCATGGCAGCATCAGCAGGAGGCTGAGCTGCTGGGTGCAGGAGCAGTGCAGGCACCGTGTGAGGGGTGAGCAGAGCATGGCACAGCAGAGGGGGCATCCAGGGCCTGCAGGCACACAGCAGCCCATCCTCCACGTCCCCAGTGTGAATCCAGACTTTCCCAGCCCGTGTCATTTTCCAGTGGGTGAATGGGTGCAATACGTGCTGGCTCAGTGGGGCAGAGCTGAGGGAAGCAGCTGCTCCCAGAGCTGTGCTGGGGCACAGTGCTGCTATGGGCTGCTGCATGCTGGCTTTCTGGCTTTTGGTCAGCTATTGACAAATGGAACTTGCATTTACTTTTTAAAAGAATCTAGTATATTAGAAAATTGATCCAATTGCAAAGTTGGAGTTCCAGGGGCTGGGTCAGTTGTGTCGTGCTCCCAGCTTACCCTGCATCCACAGGAGCTGCTGCTGTGGGCAGCGTCCATGCCAGCAGAACCATGCTCTGTGTCCATGGGAGCAGCCACTGTTGCTGCACTTAGAGCTTCCAGCTTGGTGTTAGCCAGTTCCAGCAGCTGTGTGCCCCATTTTGGCACAGGGGTGACGTCCTGGTCAAGAGAGGGCCGTGTGAATCCCTGTGCTCAGTATGAATTATGGAGCTGGGTCACACATCCTTTTCACCCCCACCTGCCACGTGCCTGCTTACAGCTCCTGCCCGTGGTACCTTTGTGAGTGACTTGGTTGGTCTCTCTCCTGCCCTGAGCTCCAGGACCGCTCCAAGACCTGATGCAGCTCTGGACACTGCAGCAGCTCATCAGCAGGACCAGCAGGCCAGGGCAGAGGCAGAGGGACAAGTGACTCTGGGGCTGGTGTTCAGGTGGCCACCCGTGATGGGTCACTGTCCTGCATGACAAGCAGAGACTGGATACAAGTACAAGGAGGTGCTGAGCCTCTGCTTGAGGTCCCAGCTGTGAACCCTGGGCTGAGCATTGCCCCACACCATGGGCATGGCCGATGTTTGTGTCATGGACTGGTGTCCCTAAGTATGACTGATACTCCCTTGAATCTTTTTTAGCTGCTTTTGAACAGTTGTGGCAGTTTTTTTCAGAGCAGGGTAATTTGAGTTTTTTGCTTCTGCATAGTCAACACGGTGAAAGTGTGAAATTGCTGTGCCAGGAGCGGGGCTGCCGGGCCCTGTGGCAGAGCTGCTGTCCCCTCGTGGTGCTCATCCCCCTGTGGAGGGTTCACTGTCCTGGCAGGAGCATGGGGACAGCCCAGTGAGGAGCCATGCTTTCCATTAACTCACGTCAGTGTGGCTGTGCTGGTGTGGGGAGCACTGCGGAGGGACACCCCCCAAACCTTCCCACCCACCAGGAGCTGCGTGGGGCCAGGCAGGGCATCAGGCTCAGCCTCTGTCACCCCCAGCAGCCCTGGGGGGTATGTGAGGGAGCAGATTTGGGCTGTGCTCAGGCTGCCTGCACCTGCCTGCACCCACCCCACACCCGTGAGCTAGGCACGAGCAGCTCAGGTTAGCATCCTGAGAAAGTTGGTGAGGTCTGGGGATAAATTGCCATCAGTTTATCTCATTTAGGAGGTAATCAGAGCCAGGGACGTGCAGAGCAATTGAATCTTAGTTGTTCTGAAGTATCATAAATCAAACGAGCTGTTGCTTTTTTACATGGGCTCATGTTAAAGAGAGCTCCGTGTCAGGCTGCCAGGGAGCATCCGCAAACTATGGCAGGCGTGGGATTGGGCTGCCGGAGATGTCACCGAGCTGGGGAGTGCAGCTCAGGCTGTCAGGGAGCCCCCACAGGCTGGCAAACGTGTGTCAGGCTGTCAGGGGACGAAGATGCTCATCCCCTGGTGTAGGTGCGGTGTCATCCTGCAAGGGCCATCGGGAACGTCTGCTCTCGTCAGAACCCAGCAAAGCTCTGTGGCCAGGAGTGCCCCATCCTGCCGTGGAGCTGCCCACAGCCCCTCTGCAGCCACACTGCTCTTGGCCTGGACCCTGGGCCCCTGTCGAGGCTGCCAGGAGAGCCAAAGAGCCCCCAGACACGGCTGAGGGCAGCAGCACCTTCGCGACGCTCCCTGCTCCAGTCCCCCCATGGCTGCCAGAGCTCCGGGGATAATGAACTTCTCATGTGCTTAAAGAGTGATGCAGGGTGCATGGCGAGAAGCTGACAGCCCCTTAATGTGCTTCTCAGTGGCGGCCAAACGACGCGGTTTTGTCTTTGTTTTTTAGTTTTAAAACCCACAGGAAATTGATGGCCAGTAAAGAGTTGTGTTGGGGCGATGTGCGTGATTAATGCCAACTGTCAGGGGCTGTCGAGGCCGATCGTGGCAAGCCGGGAGTGTGAGGCTGAGCCGTGCTCAGCAGATTGCTGGGGATTCCAGCTGCTATGGCTCAGCTCCCGCCTGCCCCACACAGCTTGTGTCACCCGCGCTTCCTCCACCAAGCCTCTTCATTCAGTGCTAACAAGTCACTCCAGCTCATTATGGACCCTGGAGCTCCGTGCTGGCGGGAGGGAGGCAGCCTGTGCAGGGCATCTCTGTGGTTCAGCTGCTCCCCTGTCTCCATCAGCTCCCCCCCGCAGTCTCTGCTTCCTGGGAGACCTTGCACAGCTCTGTGTTACCCCTCTGAGACCCTCATGTGCACAGCCCTGACCCTGCCACAGCCTCTGCTCACACCATGGAGCCCGCACTGTCCGTGCCCTCCCTCCCTGCTGCCTGCACACGCCCCCAGCCCTTCTGCCCCCTCCCCTGCTCTGCACCCCACATT